CGATTCATAGTTTGATGAAACAATCGAGTTGTGAGTTCTTGAGTGTCGCGATACAAAAACTACCAGAACTTTTTTTTTGGTGGATGGAATCAACTAATTTTTTTTTTGATTGATGCACTAATCATTTGTTCAGAATTTTGAGCTCTTTGTAAAATCTTGTAGCATTCAAAGTTTTTGCGCAAAAAAATGTGTATAAGTGGCAAGAAAACAGAAATATTTTTTTCGCAAAAACTATGAATGCTACAAGATTTTACAAAGGGCACAAAATTGTGAACAAATGATTAGTGCATCAACCAAAAAAAAATGAGTTGATTCCATCCATCAAATAAAAAGTTCTGGTGGTTTTTGTATCACGACACTCAAGAATTCACCACTTGTCCAAAACGGCTGAACTCGATTGTTTCATCAAACCATGAATCCTACATAAGAACACATTCCCAGCGAGTTTCACCAAAATACATCGAACCATTCTACCGATATTTCGAAAAGGAAAATTTTTTGAACAACTTTGCCCATCAATAGCAGAGGAGCCAGACAAAAATTAGGTCAGATCGTCTTCTTTTGGTGCAAAGAATATCGCGGTATCCTTTTGATCATGTGCCTACGGGACACCCTGTATAACAGAACGTTCAATTGAGTGAGACTGAGTTTAACATTCAGCAACGTAGTTGGCATCGGCCATCTCACTCGCGCCCTTAGGATGCCAAGAGAGATAGAACATGGACTGTCGGTTGCTATGTTCCAACTTGACACCTTCATGGCACAAAATATCGGAGTTTTGAAACAAAAAAGTGTGTCATTAACTGTGAGTGTCAGAAACTGATAATTTTTAGTTCAAAAAAACTTTCCAAATATTGGAAAACAGCACTTGGAACGAAAAAGGTGYGGTGTTTAAKAGCCGGCCAATCAAAGCAATCGATTCGCATAAAATAGCCCCAAACCGTAAAAACTTYTACGCCWCCAWTGCGTCAAGCGCACAAAGCAAATTATTAAAGTCTGTTGTTTCATCAACAGTTTAACAACATGCATTGTTCCACGGCTTTCTCAGTCAAACAATTCGTATTATTCCCGCTTAATCGCCTGATATGGGCAAGAGGTAAGATACCGCGAACATGCTATCTTTATGACCCCCTAATAATTCTTCTAGAGACAGCCTGAAGTTCAGTGTTTTAAAGTCATGTTTTCGCCGAGCAAGTGTAAGTGTGTGACCATTCTATTAGCCTGGATATTGGCGCTGAACTTTAACGCCGCTGATGATAGTTCTTGTTCGGTAACAGTGGATATTAGCGATGGGGTAGTGGAAGGTGCAAACATTACCAAAGATGGCGTAACCTACATGCCCGGAAAGTACTTTGAAGATGGAACCACCATCAAAGGGTGTGTGTGCCAAGTGAAGACTTGCCTAAGACGCTGCTGCTCGAGCAATGAAACTCTTACGGAAAGCGCAGATGGCGGGACAGCGTGCGAAGCATCCAATTCCAGTGTGGACGTTTTGCAGGGTCTTCAAGCCGTTTCTGAAGCAAACGTGTCCCTTTTTCACATCATATCGGTGCCAGCGCGCGAAGTTTGCCATGAAAACGAATCGAAAATCTTCGTGGACTCAGACGTGGAAATCGCCAGTTCAGGAGACCTAATTTGGGGGGCAGAAACCGTCTTCAGTTTCGATCAATATTGCA